TCCACCAGGGTTCAGGATGCCAGATATGCGGCCGTTTGATGGGAACTATGATCCGCAGGATCACTTATATGAGTTCAACGACCTGATGGAGCTCCACCAGGTTTCGGACCTTGCAAAATGCCGTTGTTTGGCCGTGACGCTGACTTCCCACGCCAAGCGGTGGTTAAGGTCGCTCCTGGCGGGATCGATCAGTTCGTGGCCTCAGATGAGCACAACGTTCCTGCGGCATTTCCAAGCCAATCGGAAGTTTTTGATGCCTTTGAGCTACCTCAGCAATATAAGGCAAGAAAGAGATGAATCCCTGCAGTCTTACATTGACCGTTTCCACAGGGAACTCAACAAGGTGGCCCACGCTCCAGAAGAGTCTATCCGAACACTTATAATAGTTGGAGTTCGCCCGCAAACCGACCTGTGAAAAGAACTGCAGGCTGAGGACGATATTTCCCTCACCAGATTCTATAACCTGGCAGAAAAGTATCTCCGAATAGAGAATTCATTGGCAGCACTCCGCCGTCGCGATCACGACACTTCCAGCAGCATGTCTGGTCGGGGAGATAATAGGAGAGCTGATCGCAAAGGAGACATTGACGATCAGCGAAAAGGGAAGAAACCCCGCTACGAGTAGAAAAAGTCCTATGCTCCTGTTCCTCGTCGTGACCGCGACAGGACTCAATACACTCCGCTGAACGTGTCCATATCTGCAATCCTCGACAAATTCGAGGAGGCCAGCTTGCTCAGTGAGCCCGAACCCATGAAAACTCCTGCTACTGCCAGAAACAGTAAAACATATTGCCGTTACCACCGGGATAACGGGAATCACACCGATGAATGCCGAGCTCTAAAGCATGCTATCGAATAGCTCATCAAGAAGGAGCACTTCAAGGAGTACATTGATGACTCCCCAAAAGAAAACCAAGGGGAGCAAAAGAAAAAGCGTCATAATCGCAGCGGGTACAGCAGTGTTAACATAATTTTCGGAGGTCCGCACCTCTCGGGAAACACGCGAGGAGTGCAGGAAAGGTATGCTCGCGAAGCGCATCACGACCCGATCAGGGTAATGAACACTTCGCAGCGACCTCAAAAAGCCAGAAAGGAGGAACCGATCACCTTCTGCGAGGAGGCAGCTCGCTTGCACCATCCTCATGAGGACGCTTTGGTGATCACGCCCCTGATAGGGTGCCATAATGTCTGCAGAATGCTTGTAGACAACGGAAGTGCTGTGAACATCCTGTTCAAGTCCGCTTTCGATAGAATGAACCTAGTCGAGGCTGACCTGAAGCCAGCCTCGATGCCTCTGTCTGGTTTTACAGGGGATCACCTGATCCCCAAGGAACATCCAGCTACCAGTCACGCTCGGCGACTACGAGGAGGTGACTAGGGTTACTGAATTTTTGTCGTGACTGCCCGTCGGCCTTTAATGGAATCTTGGGGCGACCTCTGTTGAGAACCTTCAGGGCAATCACTTCCATTTATCATCTCAAGATGAAGTTCCCACATCCAACGGGATAGGCGAAGTAAGCGGATTGCAAAGCGCATCTCGCAATGCTATGTAAAAGGGTCCAGATGGCAGATAGGGAAAGGGCATTTCGCGATGTGTGCCCCGCCAAGCTATGGGTATCACCGGATCGAGCTACAGCCTGGTCCAGCGGAAGATAACAATAATCCACTAATCTAAAAATCCCCCCAGCGGCCCTTTGAGGATCTGTCCGAAGTTTCGGTTGATCCAAAAGAGCCGAGCCGAGTGTTACGGATTGGAGCTGTCTCAACCCACAGCTCGCTTCCGAGCTGTAATTTCTTAAAGGAGAACATTGACGTGTTTGCCTGGTCGCACGCAGATATGGTCGCGATCAGCCCGACATTATTTGCCATTCATTGAACGTCAACAGTGAAGCCAAGCCAGTTCGCCAGAAAAGAAGGGCGATGGATCCTGAGCGGTTATGCCACACTAAAATCAGAAGTGGAGAACCTTCTCCAAATGGATCCATTCGTGAGGCTCTCTACCCGACCTGGGTTGCCAACCCGTTCATGGTAAAGAAACCAAATGGCAAGTGGCGGACCTGTGTAGACTTCAGCGACCTCAACAAGCTTGCTCAAAGACAGGCTTCCCCTGCCGGGATCGACCAGCTCGTTGATGCCACCTCAGGCACGAGCTGTTAAGCTTCATGGATGCTTACTCGGATACAATCAAATCCCGATGAATGGAGCCAGATGAGAGCATACACCTTCATTACGGATCGGGGGCTATACTGTTACAAAGTCATGCCCTTCGGCCTCAAGAATGCGGGTGCACCTATCAGAGGTTGTTCAATCGAATGTCTCTAACCAGATCGGAGGACAATGGAGGTCTATGTGGAACAATGTTGGTCATCCCAGGTCGCCTCAGAACATATTGCGCATCTCGCAGAGATGTTTGACATACTCCGACTCTACAGAATGAAGCTGAACCCTCTTAAATGTTCATTCGGGGTATCGTCAGGAAGTTCCTAGGATATATGGTCAATCAGCGGGGCATAGAAGTAAACCCCGAGAAGATCCGACCCTGCTCGTATGGAGAGCCGACCAGCAGAAGCAGGTCATGAGTCTGAATGGGCGATATCGGCACTTATCGCTTTATATCAGGCTACAACCGCTATTTACCATTCTTCAATGTCCTGAAGGCCAATAAGAAATTCGAATGGACTCCCATGCAGCAGGCATTTCAGAGTTAAAAGAACACCTTGGGAAGCCACCTCTCCTCTCTAATCTCTTCCACAGGAAATCCTGCTCATCTACCGTCCGTCTCCCAGTTCGCGTCAGTGCAGCTTTAATACGAAGAGGAAAAGGCTCAGTGGCCGTATATATGCAAGTAACGTCTATCGGATGCCGAATGCATTATCTGGAAATGGACGACTAGTTTTTGCTCTTTTGGTCGCGTCCAAAGCTGCAACCTTACTTCCATGCCCATACAATCAGTGTTGACAATTACCCACCCTCAGCAGGTCCTTCAGAAACCAGAAGCCTCGGGTAAACTGCTCAAATGGGTTCGACTTAAGTACAAGCCCAGGTCGACCATTAAAGGGCAGGCTTTTGCCGACTCATCTCGAATTTTCCTATCTCAAGCGAGCAACAGCCTAGCGAAGCCGTGCAAAAAAGTTTCAGAACCTGTCGACTTGGAACCTCTGCACTGGGTCATCAACAGGAGAGATCTGTGCGGGTCTTCTCCTTGTGAGTCCCGAGGGGGCTCGAATTCATGACATTCTCCGGTTCGGTTTAAAGCGACCAATAATGAGCCGAGTACGAAGCTCTGCTCGTCGGGTTGTGACTTGCCAAATAAATGGGTGCAACCGCTATCAAATTTACAGCGACTCTATGCTGGTCGTCAACCAAATTCTAGGGGAATACCAAGCCAAGGAAGAGAACATGGTCCGCTACCTGAAAGAGGCTAAGACCGCTCTAGGGTCGTTTAAGCCCTTTGAAATCGCTCAGATCCCCAAAGAAGCAATTCTATAGCGACGCCTTGGCAAAGATAGCCTCCTCGTGGATTCGAGGCCAGATAACTTCCTGTTCGTTCGTCGGCGCTCCAACTATCAGCTGACCGAACAGGCAGTAAATGGCTCAACCGGATTCCTGGATGACTCCCGTTATCTAGTACCTCAAGGATGGGACCTTGCCAGCGACAAGGTCGAGGCAGGGTCCTAGAGTAAGATCTGCTCGTTTCACACCTCATCGGGGACCAGTTGTACAGGAGAGGATTCAGTGCCCCCCTTCTCCAATGTGTGACCAACGAAGAAGCAGACTACATCATGAGGAAATCCATGAAAGGATCTGTGGCAACCACACAGCTACTCGATCTCTTGCAACAAGTTGTTTCGTCAGGGTATTATTGGCCCCGGATTCAAGAAATGCGCACACTGGTCAAGAAATGTGATAAATGCCAGCGTTCACAGACATTTCGGAGCCCACTCTCACGAGCTGATAACTATGTCTAGCCCCTGGCCGTTTTCCATGTGGGGATCGATCTTATTGGACCATGCCAGCGGAAAGGGAGGGGTCAAGTTGCGTGGTCGCGGTAGATTATTCACGAAATGGGTGGAAGCCGAACCTAGCCGCGATCACGACTAGAAAGCTGAAAGACTCGTTTTCAAGAACGCCATACGGAATTCCTCACACCCTCATCTCGGATAATGGAAAGCAATTCGATAACGAGGAGTTCAGCAGTTTTGCGACGACTGGGCATCCATAAAAAATTTGCCTCAGTCGCCAGACCGCAAGCGAATGGCCAGTTGAAGCAGTTAACAAGACCATCAAGCACATTCTAAAGCCAAACTTGGGGCACCAAGGGGAATTGGGCTGACGACCTCCTGGAAGTCTTATGGGCTACAGGACAACTCCAAGCCTCCACTCAGAGACCCCTTTTTCGCTAGCCTATGGTTGCGAAGCGATGATCCCTGTAGAAGTGGGAACGGTTTCTCTTCGGAGGGACTTGGACGAGGATGAAACGAAGCACTTATGAGGGCAAGTTTGGATCTCATTGAAGAGCATCGCAGCAAGGCTTTGCTAAGAATAGCAGCCTATCAGCAGTGAGCAAAGATTTTTTCGATTCAAAGGTCAAGCGAAAGACTTCCAGGTCGGGACCTTATGCTAAAGGAGTTCTCCTCGGACTAGAACCGAGTGCGGAGGTACTGGGACCCACTGAGAAGGGCCGTACCGGTCGACAAGGTGATCAGGCCGGGGACTTACCATCTCAAGGCTAAACGTTTCTAAAGTACCCCCGAGCTTGAAACGCCAACACCTCCGGCCATACTACCGTAATCCCGAACTCACTCTCAATCGTTTATGTTAATTTTATTTCTAATGTAAAGCTTAATTCTGTTCGCTGGAGACAGTTCGTATGTGTTCTGTTTCGTGTGTAAAAATTCGCATGTTATTGCTTATGCAAATTGAATTGTAAATTGAACTTATGTATGAAAAGCGAACTACAATTGTAAGAAAGTGTATCTTCATTTATGTACAAACAAAAGTTAGACCCAATTACGATGGGGTCGACTCATTACATTACGGCTGGTCGGGGGGATCCTTCGAACCAGAACCCCCTGCCTGGTCGGGTGTTGGGCGGCCACGGCTGCCTGATCGTCCTCCTCAGCCATGATCAGCAAAGTCGCTTGCCACCCCTCCGGGAGGTCGAAAATGTCCATATCTGGGTTCCTCAACCGGAGGGAATAAATGGACCCGATCGCCCAGTCAGCGGCCTTCTCCTCCAGCTCCTCTGACTGATTCCGCAATTCTTCAGTCAGTGAGGCGATCCTTTCACGACTCTCCTGGAGTTCAGCTTCAAGAGCTCGTTTCTCCTGTTCGGAGGCCTCCTTTTCCTGTTCAACTCGCTGGGCCCATACGGAGGTCGCTTGGATCTCCTGATCCTTCTCCCTGACCACTTTGGAGAGCCTGGCGGTTGTCCTTTGGAGTTCCTTCACGTCCTCCGCACGTCGCTCAAGCTCCGCCTTTTGGAAGTCCACCGTTTGTAAAGCAGCATCCTTTTGGCTCAGATACCTGTTCGCCGCATCGAACGCTTCTGTTCTTTCAGCTTCGGCGGACTCCAGGCTTTTCTTGAGCTTCGCGACCTCCTCCTGTAGGTCACTGGACCCCTTCGCGGCTCCCAGCCGAGTCTTCTCCATAGACATCCTCATCGCAAGTAGAGCCTGCGAGCACGAAATGGTTAGAAATGAACCAGAACAAAATTTTAAGAACAGCTCGTTTACCTTGCTTAGATGCTGGAACGAAGTGGTCATCAGGTCGTCGCTCGTGTCGACAAACTCATCGTAAGACTCCGATAATCCACACTCAAGCAGAGAATAGACTATCGGCTGCAGGTACTCAGGCAGGCTCCCCAGTGAGTCCAGCACTGGTATGTCCTTTGCCTTGTCGGAGGTGATCGCCTCACCTGCAGGCTTCTTGCCCGACCTCCTTGAGTCCCTTCGCTACCTCAAGGGCTCCTCCTCGGATTCGGTCTCAGACTCTTCGGCCTGGACCTGTTTCCTCTTCTTCGACCTTTGGGCCGGGGCCTTACGCCTTGGGCGTGCCGGTGGTGCCTGAGCGACCTGTTCTGCCCTGGTCGCTTCATGCACAGGGGGTTGAGAAGGTGCAACAGTTCGCACCAGTTGTGCAGGAATGGGACGAGCAGCTTCGGCCGCTCTCTCCCTCCTCGATCGAGGAAAGACAAACGGTGCTCGGCGGGGCTGCTTGGATTCCTTCGGGGGCATAGTTTCTGCATTTAAGTTCGTTAGTAAACAAAATTGCTCCGCGACCAGGACAGGAATCAACGTAACTTACCTTCCAAGGGTTCTAAAGACGCTTTGTTGCTGAAAAAATCGTACTTCCGCAAGTTCGCGGTTGTCACAAGCTTCCTCGCGTTCCGGCTCTCCTCGTCCAGTACTCCAAAAGATACGAGCCTGTCTGGGTCGGCAAGTAAGTTTTGGCTGGTCATTCTGTTAATTGCAAAAGAAAACAGGTCGTTATTATAGAGCATGCGAACAGATAATATGCCTCACGAGGAATAACCTACTTGGTGTCTGAAAGCGGTAGTGGCCGTCATAGCAGAAAAAGAAGAATTTCGTCTTGTAGGCCCCCGCGTTGCTAGGATAGTAGGATAGCTATGTATCCCCTCGGCGATGGTAGGTCGCCGGGACAGGTAGTATGAATCCTTGTCCCTACTCTTTTTGAGGTAATAGGCGACGCCGAGCTCCACTACCGTTGGCTCACCCAAGCCGCTTTCGCAGCACGCGATGTACATCGCGACGGCGATGACATACGCGTTTGACGTGAGTTGCATCGGTGCGATCCCGAAGTGATCCAGGACCGACCTGATGAAAGGATGGAGAGGAATCCTCCCTCCACCCTTGAAGATCTCTTCGGAGATCGCGGCAAGGCCGTCAGAAGGGCGCCGTGACGACCTAGTATGGTTGAGGAACACCTCTGCGCGGACGTCAAACTGCTTTTTTATCCTATCAAATTCCTCTTGGGTGAGAACCGAGAAGACATCAAGGGATGCGTCCTCGGGAACGTCCCGCGAGGACGAGCTAGCCGCTTCCTCGGGTCTGGACGTTGACGGATCCATTCCAGAGTCTGCAACATCGACAGACACGGTCATTTAGGCCTTCGTGTTTTGTCCCGTGCGGCGGCAAGGGACTAATTCTTAAAACCCTAATAGTACTTGAGCCGCCACCCACGGCTCGAGTCCGGCAACAGTGGCGCATCTCCGGTGGAACACCGAGAGACTCAATGCCGTCGCCCACCAACTAAACAAATGCAAAAAAAAAAAACAAAGTCGTTAGTGCTATGCTATTAATCACCTTTTCTACCATAGAACCCTGTTGAATACGAAATCAAGGTGACGTGGAGGTGCGTGACGAAACGGCTGCTCCCGTCAGGACGGTAAGCGCACGTCAGGCCTGCCAAACGCCCTGGTGCTCCCACGTGTCCTAGCCTGCTCCAAATCGCGTGAATCGGCTTGGAAAATGGGTAATGGGACGTAAAATCAGATTAGGTCCTGACAATCACACCAACCCAAGGATTTGGTGATAATTATGCACATTCAAACTGGGTATAAGAAGAGGAAGACCCTTCATTAAGGGGATTCGACAATTTTACACAAAAAACTCTCTTTCACGCTTTTGTACTTATTTCTAACCTTTTGTAAGTCAGTCCGCTGTCGCGACCTGACCCACACTATAATATCATATAAATCAGTGGACGTAGGATGCACCTTAGCATCCGAACCACTTTAAAAACTCTCATAGCATTTATTTCGCTTTTTATATTCATTTTCACGTGTTCTTTTTTATCAATCAACGCTACGCACGTGACAATTAGTTGGTGCAAAATCCGAGCATCAACAGTTTGGCGCTAGAAGGAGGGGCCTGATTAGGTGTACCCTTCATCAGGAGAATCTTTGACCTACTGGTCCTACAACAGCAAATGGCCTGCCAATCTGAGCCAGAACAGTAATCAACGTACTGAAGAGTTCCAGTTTCGCCAAAATGCTGCGGAGAATTCCCGGTAGCTTCACAACTTGACCTTGTCATCAGAAACTACCTGGAAGGTTCGACAATACTCCAGACGGTCAACCAAGGTTGGACCGTTTGGACCAAGGCATGTCATCTACCACAGCCAGGGCGGTGCAACCGCCAAAGATGCCTACAGGTGCGCGAAAGCGCGGCAAAGGGCATAGCCCGTGCGCGAGCACTGTAGCGCGTAGACGTAAGGGCAAGCAAGTGGCAAAGGTCAGCCTACGAGCCCCCAGGGACCAACGAGCACAAAAGGTGCCTCGAGCAAGGTATCGGCAAAGCTGAGACTCGGCGAAAGTGAATCCCGAGCAGTCCCATGCCACGTCGCAGGCAAACCCAAGCAAAAATGCTGCGCCGATGATCTTATCGCCGACAGCAAAACGATCCCGATCGTATCACGTGGGTGGCCCCACACCCGCGGGGCGATTCGTACACCGTGAGGGTCGTGAAAATGCCCCACACGATCCATCACCTTCGCACGCCTCTGCCAGCGTGTGGGAGTGCGGTCGGCAAATGTCGGCCGAGGCGAGGAGGAATCTGACCTCCGGACCTTCCTGAACCGTAATCGAGAAGGCCGGACTCGCAGGGTGAAAGCAATCCCCAATTGGCTCGTTACACAAAATTGAGGACTGCAGCAAGCTCTGGACAGGTAAAGGAGCAGCAAAACGAACAGCGCAGGTCGCCTCTGCATCCTATTCTCTCCCGAAGTGCTAGCTGCTCCACTTCCACCAGGGTTCAGGATGCCAGATATGCGGCCGTTGATGGGAACTATGATCCGCAGGATCATATATGAGTTCAACGACCTGATGGAGCCACCAGGTTTCGGACCTTGCAAATGCCGTTGTTTGGCCGTGACGCTGACTTCCCACGCCAAGCGGTGGTTAAGGTCGCTCCTGGTGGGATCGATCATTCGTGGCCTCAGATGAGCACAACGTTCCTGCGGCATTTCCAAGCCAATCGGAAGTTTTTGATGCCTTTGAGCTACCTCAGCAATATAAGGCAGAAAGAGATGAATCCCTGCAGTTTACATTGACGTTTCCACAGGGAAACCAACAAGGTGGCCCCACGCTCCAGAAGAGTTATCCGAACACTTATAATAGTTGGAGTTCGCCGCGCAAACCGACCTGTGAAAGAACTGCAGGCGAGGACGATATTTCCCTCACAGATTCTATAACCTGGCAGAAAAGTATCTCCGAATAGAGAATTCATTGGCAGCACTCCGCCGTCGCGATCACGACACTTCCAGCAGCATGTCTGGTCGGGGAGATAATAGGAGAGTGATCGCAAAGGAGACATTGACGATCAGCGAAAGGGAAGAAACCCCGCTACGAGTAGAAAAAGTCCTATGCTCCTGTTCTCGTCGTGACCGCGACAGGACTCAATACACTCCGCTGAACGTGTCCATACTGCAATCCTCGACAAATTCGAGGAGGCCAGCTTGCTCAGTGAGCCGCAACCCATGAAAACTCCTGCTACTGCCAAAACAGTAAAACATATTGCCGTTACCACGGGATAACGGAATCACACCGATGAATGCCGAGCTCTAAAGCATGCTATCGAAATAGCTCATCAAGAGGAGCACTTCAAGGAGTACATTGATGAATCCCCAAAAGAAAACCAAGGGGAGCAAAAGAAAAAGCGTCATAATCGCAGCGGGTACAGCAGTGTAGTAACATAATTTTCGGAGGTCGCACCTCTCGGGAAACACCGAGGGTGCAGGAAAGGTATGCTCGCGAAGCGCATCGAACGATCAGGGTAATGAACACTTGCAGCGACCTCAAAAAGCCAGAAAGGAGGAACCGATCACCTTCTGCGAGGAGGCAGCTCGCTTGCACCATCCTCATGAGGACGCTTTGGTGATCACGCCCCTGATAGGGTGCCATAATGTCTGCAGAATGCTTGTAGACAACGGAAGTGCTGTGAACATCCTGTTCAATCCGTTTCGATAGAATGAACCTGTCGAGGCTGACCGAAGCCAGCCTCGATGCCTCGTATGGTTTTACAGGGGATCACCTGATCCCCAAAGGAACAATCCAGCTACCAGGTCACGCTCGGCCGGACTAGCGGAGAGTGACTAGGGTACGAATTTTGGCGTGGACTGCCTCGGGCCCTTTAATGGAATCTTGGGCGACCTCTGTTGAGAACCTTCAGGGCAATCACTCATTTATCATCAAGATGAAGTTCCACTCCAACGGGATGAGGCGAAGTAAGCGGATTGCAAAGCGCATCTCGCGAATGCTATGTAAAAGGCACGATGGCAGATATAAGGAGAAAGGGCATTTCGCGATGGGTGCCCCGCCAAGCTATGGTGATCAGCGGACGAGCTACAGCTGGTCCAGCGGAAGATAAACATAGATCCACAATCTAAGAAATCCCCCCAGCGGCCCGGTTGAGGATCTGTCGATAGTTTCGGTGATCCAAAAGAGCCGAGCCGAGTGTTACGGATTGGAAGCTGTCTCAACCCACAGCTCGCTTCCGAGTGGTAAGCTTTATAAGGAGAACATTGACGTGTTTGCTGGTGCAGCAGATAGGTCGCGATCAGCCCGGACATTATTGCCATTTTCTGGACGTCAACAGTGAAGCCAACAGTTCGCCAGAAAAGAAGGCGATGGATCCTGAGCGGTATGCCACACTAAAATCAGAAGTGGAGAACCTTCTCCGAAATGGATCCATTCGTGAGGCTCTAACCCGACCTGGGTTGCCAACCGCGTCATGGTAAAGAAACCAAATGGCAAGTGGCGGACCTGTGTAGACTCGCCGACCCTCAAAAGATTGCTCGAAAGAAAAGCTTTCCCTGCCGAGGATCGACCAGCTCGTTGATGCCACCTCGAGGCACGAGCTGTTAAGCTTCATGATGCTCTCGGGATACAATCAAATCCGATGAATGGACCAGATGAGGAGCACGCTTCATTAGGATCGGGGGCTATACTGTTACAAAGTCATGCCCTTCGGCCTCAAGAATGCGGTGCGACCTATCAGAGGTTGGTCCATCGAATGTTCTCTAACAGATCGGAGGACAATGGAGGTCTATGTGGAGACAATGGTGTTCAAATCCAGGTGCCTCAGACATATTGCGCATCTGCGCAGATGTTTGACATACTCCGACTCTACAGAATGAAGCTGAACCCCTAAATGTTCATTCGGGGTATCGGCAGGAAAGTTCCTAGGATATATGGTCAATCAGCGGGGCATAGAAGTAAACCCCGAGAAGATCCAGACCCTGCTCGATATGGAGAGCCCGACCAGCAAGAAGCAGGTCATGAGTCTGAATGGGCGAATAGCGGCACTTAGTCGCTTTATATCAAGGCTAACAGACCGCCATTTACCATTCTTCAATGTCCTGAAGGCCAATAAGAAATTCGAATGGACTCCGATGCGAGCAGGCATTTCAGAGTATAAAAGAACACCTTGGGAAGCCAACTCTCCTCTCTAAGTCTCTCCACAGGAAATCCTGCTCATCTACCCGTCCGTCTCCCAGTCGCGGTCAGTGCAGCTTTAATACGGAAGAGGAAAAGTCAGGGCCAGTATATTATGCAAGTAAACGTCTATCGGATGCCGAGATGCAGTATCTGGAAATGGACGACTAGTTTTTGCTCGTTGGTGCGTTCCAGAAAGCTGCAACCTTACTCCATGCCCATACAATCAGTGTAATGACAAATTACCCCTCAGGCAGGTCCTTCAGAAACCAGAAGCCTCGGGTAACTGCTCAATGGGTTCGGACTTAAGTACAGCCAGGTCGACCATTAAAGGGCGGCTGTTGCCGACTTCATCTCGGAATTTTCCTATCTCCTAAGGAGCAACGCTAGCGAAGCCGTGCAAAAAAGTATTAGAACCTGTCGACTTGGAAACTCTACGTCGACGGGTCATCAAACAGGAGAAGAGTTGTGCGGGTCTTCTCCTTGTGAGTCCGAGGGGGCTCGAAATCATGACATCTCCGGTTGGGTTTAAAGCGACCATAATGAGGCCGAGTACGAAGCTCTGCTCGTCGGGTTGGACTTGCCAAAGAAATGGTGCCACCGCTATCACATTTACAGCGACTCTATGCTGGTCGTCAACCAAATTCTAGGGGAATACCAAGCCAAGGAGAGAACATGGTCCGCTACTGAAAGAGGCTAAGACCGCTCTAGGGTCGTTTAAGCACTTTGAAATCGCTCAGATCCCAAAGAGAGCAATTCTATAGGGACGGCCTTGGCAAAGATAGCCTCCTCGTTGGATTCAGAGGCTCCAGATAAATCCTGTTCGTTGTCGGCCGCTCAACTATCAGCTCGACCGAACAGGCAGAGTAAATGTGGCCAAACGGATTCCTGGAGACTCCCGTTATTAGTACCTCAAGGATGGGACCTTGCCAAGCGACGGTCGAGGCAAGGGTCCTAGAGTAAGATCTGCTCGTTTCACACATCATCGGGGACCAGTTGTACAGGAGAGGATTCAGTGCCCCCCTTCTCCATGTGGACCAACGAAAGAAGCAGATACATCATGGGGAAATCCATGAAAGGATCTGTGGCAACCACACAGCTACTCGATCTCTGCGAACAAGGTTGTTCGTCAGGATATTATGGCCCCGGATTCAAGAAGATGCGCACAACTTTGTCAAGAAATGTGATAAATGCCAGCGGTTGAAACATTTCGCGAGCCCACTCTCACGAGCTGATAACTATGTCTAGCCCCTGGCCGTTCATTGTGGGGGATCGATCTTATTGGACCCATGCCAGTCGGAAAGGGAGGGGTCAAGTATGCGTGGTCGCGGTAGATTTATTCACGAAAAGGTGGAAGCCGACCACTAGCCGCGATCACGACGAAAGCTGAAAGACTCGTTTTCAAGAACGCCACTACGGAATCTCACACCTCATCTGGATAATGGGAAGCAATTCGATAACGAGGAGTTCAAGCAGTTTTGCGACGAGCTGGGCATCCATAAAAAATGCCTCAGTCGCCAGACCGCAAGGAATGGCCAAGTTGAAGCAGTTAACAAGACCATCAAGACATTCTAAAAGCCAAACTTGGGCAGCCAAGGGGAATTGGGCTGACGACCTCCTGGAAGGCTTATGGGCGTACAGGACAACTCACAGAGCCATCACCCTCACGAGAACCTTTTTCGCTAGCCTATGGTTGCGAAGCGGGATCCCTGTAGAAGTGGGAACGGTTCTCCGGGGGCTTGTACGACGAGGATGAAAACGAAGACACTTATGAGGGCAAGTTTGGATCTCATTGAAGAGCATCGCAGCAAGGCTTTGCTAAGAATAGAAGCTATCAGCAGTGAGCAAAGAGATTTTTCGATTCAAAGGTCAAGCGAAGAGACTTCCAGGTCGGGGACCTTATGCTAAAGGAAGTTCTCCTCGGGACTAGAGAACCGAGTGCGGAGGTACTGGGACCCAACTGAGAAGGGCCGTACCGGGTCGACAAGGGTGATCAGGCCGGGGACTTACCATCTCAAAAGGGCTAAAGGTTCTAAAGTACCCCGAGCCTTAGAACGCCAACACTCCGGCCATAACTACCGTAATCCGAACTCAGCTCTCAATCAGTTTATGTTAATTTTATTCTAATGTAAAGCTTAATTCTGTTTCGCTGGAGGACAGTTCGTATGTGTTCTGTTTCGTGTGTATAAAATTCGCATGTAATATTGCTTTGCAAATGAATTGTAAATTGAACTTATGTATGAAAAGCGAATACAATTGTAAGAAGTGGTTATCTTAAATAAAGAGTAAACTACTTTTCCAACCCAAGGTTTGCCTTAATAACCTTTCCCACCCAAAAAGTTTCAAAATACCATTTTCCCACAAAAGTTTACATTCTGACTAATCGCTAGTCGATTTCAGCATCTTGCGACCCCACGACACCACCATTTTCTTCACTGATCACTACGCATCAAAACCCCTCAAACCTTACCCCTGTCAACCTTGTTAATTGCTAGCAATTGAGCGATTTGTGTAATGTGCAACCGCCCTTTTCCCAAATCAAATTCTGATTAATCCCAACCACAAAAATTCAACCTACCACCACCAAAAGACTCATCGACATCCCCTTTTCAAAAGCACTAATAGCTTGGGCAAAATTTTATCTCCATTGGCTGCTAAATCAAAAAATGTATTCTAGATACTAAACGAAATATAAATTTTGGGTGGGAAAGTGGTATTTTGAAACTTTTTGGGCAGGAAAGGGTTATGAAGGCAAACCTTGGGTGGGAAAAAGTAATTGACTCTTAAAATAAATAAAAGGAAAATGTTATTCCAAAATGAGAACAAATCAATTTCCGCTCTATAGTTTTTGAAAGTTTCAGTTTTCAAGTAGCTATGAACTTTTACTAATACTTACCTCTAAAAGTAAAAAAAACAATCAATCACCCTTTAAAACACTAACGCCATCCAACAATCGTTAAATGAACAAGGGTAAGATAGTCTTTCAATTCCGACCTCATTTCCTTTCTCCACTTCTTTCTTTTTTTTCTTCTTTCTCCTCCACCATCTTCTTATTTCTCACTTCCTCCTCCCAACATTTTCTTTTTCTTAGATCCACCACTGCAAATAGCTCCATAGGGAAGCTACTATGCGTATCCAATAGCAAAGTGCACAACTCCTCCTCCCAACGTTTTCTTTTTCTTAAATCAACCACTGCAAATAGCTTTATAAAGAAGCTGCTATGCGTATCCAACAACAGAGTGCACAAGCAACTGTCATTATTGCTATGCTATTAATCACCTTTTCTACCACAAAACCCATAAATTCAACCACCAAGCAACTACATTCGGAGCAACCAAACTTGAATCGAGACACAACAACATCAATCAAGCTTGATCATCGTGAAAAAAAAAAAGCAAAAAAAAATTAACCAAATCTTCATATCATTTAATTCGTTGATGATGGTTCCATGGTGGGAGAGATAGGGGATGAAAAAGAGGAAATAATTTGGAGAAAGAAAAAAAAATGAGCCAAAGAATGAGGGGGAGAAAATAAGAAAGAGGGAAAAAGGAGGAAATAAAAAGACTATATTACCCTTGCTCATTTAACAGATCTTGAACAACATTAGGGTGTTAAGGGGTCGTTGATTATCTTTTGAAAGTTTTGAGGGTAAATTAATTAGAAATTTCGTAATTTACGCAAATCATTTCCAAAAAGTATAGGGGGCTAATTGATTTTTGTTCTCATTGTAAAATCCCAAAAGCCCTCCCAAAGCGGGAAACCAAACACATTCCAAAATCGAAAATCGAAAATCAAAAATCAAAACCCTGCTTCACTATAGTCACTCTCTCTACTTCTCATACAGTTCAACTTAGTCCTCGAGCACCAAAAAATGAGAGGCACAAACCGACGTCGTCCGACGGAATCCTTCAATCAGCCACCACCTCCACAACCAACGCCCGACCTCTATGGATCCCGATTTGGTGGTCCACGCGATTCCGATGCCAGTTTCGCCAGCAGCCGCCCCTCATCCGCTGGCATCGGCCGCGCCTCCATCGCCGCCGACCTCTACTCCGATCGGTCCCACCAAATCTCCGCAATTCGCGCCATCAACGCTTTCCTCTCCTCGCACTCGTTCCAGATCCTTCTACCGCCCAAACAAGTCCCCTCCGTCAAGGACATAGTGGACATTATCAAATTTCTCATTTCGAAGCTCGATTACCCTTCCACAGCTAAGTTTGAAGACGATCTGTTTGTAATCTTGAAATCCCTAAATTGTCCTTTCAAGATTAATAAATCTACGCTTAGGTCACCGAATTCGCCTCACAATTGGCCTTCGTATCTGGCTTTGATGCACTGGCTGGTGCAAATCGCGTCGTACAACAATCACTTATCAAATAATTCGGGTTCATTTGCAGAGAATAACAGTATGTATTTGTATGCGTTGGAGAGTTATTTGAATTATATACGAGGAGATGATGATTCTGTGGAGGAATTGGATAAGGAGTTTATTGGGAAGGTGGAGAAAGAGAGAGATAGTGTGAGCGAAAATGTGATTCAGTTGGAGAAGAAGGTGAAGGAAATGGAGGGAATGAATACGGGGCCAACGGAAAGGGAGAGATTAGAGAAGGAGAAGGGTGTTTTGGAGGAGGATGTGAACAAGTTCAATGCGATGATTGCGGAGTTTAACACGAGGATAGAGAAGATGGAGAAAGCGGTGGAGGAGAAAGAGAGGGAAATGGCGGACAAAGTGGAGGAGCGTAAGAGGATTTGTGAAGAGAATGAGGAGTTAAAGAAGAGAGTGGAGTTGCAGACGTTTAATGCACGTGATGTGGAGAGGATGAGGAGAGAGTTGCAGGCAGTGGAAAGAGATATTGGGGATGCAGAGACTGCTAGGAATTCTTGGGAGGACAAGAATTGGGATCTTGATGCTTCGTTGGGACATAAGTTTAAGGAACTTGAGGCGCTTTCAATGGAGTGCAATCAGGCAATTAGAAGGTTTTATATAACTTATTCTTAGTTGTGTTTGAAAATTTGATATGTTTGCTGTTATTGGATGTTATATTTATAAAGTTTTCCACACTAACTCATTTCGCATGCCAATGGATAAACTACAAATCATAGGAAACAGTGTCTTATTAAATTAGAAACTAATAATAGTCGCTTAATATGGTCACACTTTGTAATTAGCATAATTTATGACATTACTTTACTCTATATACCAGGTTTTGATTAGTCATCTCTGCTAGAAACTTGGCTGATTAAAGCTTGGGTAAGGTAAAAACTCCTTTGGCCTGCAGATGGATTCACCAATTTTCTAGTGGGCATGAGGGCTATTTATCAGAGACAGACTGGAGATTGATATCATTATTTTTTTTTCATACAACATCAATATTAATTGAGTTCATTTTACAGTTTTGAAAATAGCGGTGCAATATTGAACCTGTAGGGATCAGCGGGAAGCTTCATACTACAATTTTGGTTTTAGCTTCAATTAGTTAGTCACATGAAATTATAAACTGTATCATGCGAATACCAATGGGTAGCATTTCAAAATTATTATCTCTCTTTAGGGTCATGGCCACATGCATTGTCTAGGAAGCGGGATAACTCTAGCTGTATTTAGTTTGTTATTTAACATCTTTGAGGTACAATTTTATTGATTTTCCTCGTGCACTCATTGTGAATCATTAATGTAAGCAAACTATCCTTTGTGGTACAGATAAACTGATCAATTTGTTTTTGGTGCTGTAAAACCTTTTAAGTAGGCTAGTTAATTTAGTGTCTTGACAAGCTTCTTATCTTTTGCAACTTTGTTTAAATAGTACTTTTCTTACTACCCTATTTTATTTGGAGGCTAAATCATATTCGTGATGTATGTGAACCTTAAGAACCTAACTATAGTTTGATATGGCAATGATTGCTTCTATATGTTTTTATGCATTATGCTGCCTAGAAAACATAATTCTGATGCAATTGCTTTTGCTCTTTGGAACTAGGTTAAAACTTGGTATTGATATCCAGTATGTGTTGAATGTAAAAGGGTCTACTCCTGCTGAGGTAATGGGTATTGACTACAAATCCACACTTAAGCCTGCCCTTGAATCCTTTGCTGATGACATAAAAAAAAGCTCAATGGCAAAATTGGAAGAGTTGATTTCCCTGCAGCAACAGTCATCTGAAATGGCTGCCAAAATTGAGGGAAAAAGAATTCGTATTGGTGCACTTCAGTCCCATATTGATGAAGTAAGAGCAGGAATAGTTGCTCTACATACAATACTACTAACGCATAAAATTCAAGCTTTTCTGCATTTCATCTTCAATGATTGTGCATTAATATACTACCTTTTTGGCATCTTGGTGCTGGATGTCTTTTTTCTTTTTCTTTTTCATAATTCATATTAATGATAACTTAGTACAAATGAATTTATATAAGGAAAGGCAGGGAATGAAACAAAAATATTCCCAACTTTATGGAAAAATGACAAAAACTAAGGATTTGGTTTTGATGTAAATCTTTTTCAGAATAAGATTGGTCTTGAAAAGAAAAATGTTCCAGAGCTAAAAGTTTATGCAGAATATTATATGGATACTGTTAATGATTCATTTTATAGGATCATAGTAGACTAGATCAGGTTACATCCTACATAGAAGAACTTCTTTGTGGTTAAATACTACAAGGGTTTTGTAATGTAGGTTTGCTACTTTCTTGAAATCTGCTTATAAGCTTATAGCTTTTAGTTGAGAATGAATAATAAGTATTTCATTACTAAGAAATTCTCAATGGCTAGCAAAGATCAAAAGTGCTTCAGGACGTTATTATGCTTGTTTTTAGGAGAATGGTTGTTATTGAGCTATCACTACCAAAATTTGGCTTTCAGAGGTTGCATCAAGAAAGTTAAGCTGCTGGAATGTGAAACTAGCTGCTTGGTACCTTTTTGCCATCTTTGGATGGCATACCATGTAACCATGATTGGCAAATTTAGGTGGCAGCCGTAAGATTCACTCATGCTTTGTTGTATTTTAACGATTTGCCTGATCCTTCATCAATGTTTTCCAACAGATGGAAGCCCAGTTGAACTTATTCAGGAAGGAGACGCAAGAGCATGCTTATAGATGTGCAGCAGAATCCAGAAAGATGGTGGAGGATGTTCAAACAGAAGCTCAAAACTTGGATATGGTAGAAAAAGAAGCAGCTGAGGTTCTGAAGGTATTGGTTTGTTATTTCTTTATATGACTTTTGATTGAAAGTCTTGTTTCACTTGTAATTTCGGAGAGATGAGCCCAAACTAAAGCAGTTCTTAACAAAATGCCATGAAGTTAAAAAAAGTGAAATGGTTTAATCATCTACCACTTGTTTCTGTGAAGGTCTCTGAATTGAAGTTGCAGGAAGCAATCAGACGAAGTGAAGAAGAAATTCAGACACGCGCTTGCGAACTGTTTGCACTAGTTGATTCAGTTTCAAAATATAAAGAATACATGGAGTCCAAAATCTTGGAGATGAAGAGCAGTCTCTCGGAAACTGCTTTAACTGTCTCAGAAGCCTACAAGAATTCCTTTCCACCTCAATTTGGTTAATACATTTGATGCAAGCAGCTAAGTATACTTAAAAATGTAAATATTTTTTACTATTAATTGTTCCTTCTTAAACCCCTTATTTGCTTGCTGCTTTATGGCTTGTATCTACTATCAATGTTCTTAAACCTTTTTCAATATTTTCGTTGCTTAGTTTAGGAATGGCTGGGGCTCAACATTCCAGGATTTGTGATGACAATCAGTGTAGGAATTTATATATATCCAGAAATATTATTACTTAGAAGCAATGTTTTAAAAACCGACCCGGGACAAAACCCGGCAAGGTGGCCAGGTCCCAGGTTGACCGGTTTAACCGGTTGAACCAACTGGTTCAACCAGTGACGTCATCATGCTGACGTTACTGTTTACAGAATGCTAATTTCCAAAATTTGGTTCCAAATCATAAATTCCAAAATAATTACAAAAATGGGGATCCAAAATTTAGTATTACAATATAGTTTATGTATATCACAGTTTCTTTGTGAACATTATCTCTACTAATAATCTATATAATAAATGATATAACTATATGAAATAAATTATCACATTAATTGGGATGCACAAACTTTGTTAAACATTATTTTCCCAAAATCAGCATTCATCTAATTCTACATATCATACGCCAATATGGACAAAAACAATCAAAAGGATAATTAATTTTCTGGAATTCATTTTTAAAGAAGCACTAAATTTAAAAATAACCCTCCCCAGTCGGTCCACGTCTCAAAGGGAAAAGTGGCTTTGGGTGAGGAATTTTGTCAAACAAGTGGTGGGCAAGTTGGCTGTGGGAAGGTTGGAGAAGATGCAGAGTCATCGGCGACCAGGTAGGCAGGCAATTACACACAAACAGAAAATCATTATCATACACATGCTGCTTCATACTTAAGCACCTGATTGTCCCAAGTCCCAACTGCATAATAGTAGCTGCAGCAAAACAAACACAAATACATTCTTCAACCAAAATTGAAAAGAAAATCATTCACACCAAAAATATAAAAGCACGAATTAACTTTTTCTAAGCAAAACCAAACATTTCAATAACAATTACTAACTTATTTACAGCGTACAGCGTAGATCGGCGGTGAAGAAGAGTGTGTGAGGACAGAAAAGATCATGAAATGTGAGGAGAGTCGCGGTACCCCAGCTGACGACAAAGTAAGCTGTTGACGGTGAAGGCTGCAGCGACGAGATTCGACGGTGAAGAGGAGACTCCGGCGGTTATTTTCAGAGTTCAGACTTTCAAAGCAAAGGGTGGGAAATGTCGTGAAAATGGGGGGGGTTGGGGCTTTACTGTTCATTCAATATAATATTGTCATTTTCAGGTTCCGCCAGACAGTCCTCTATCATAACTGGTTGGATAACACTAGTCGTTGAATGGAAAATATTATAGATTCATTAAATGTATCTCAACTCAATATTATCAGTCTTAACTCAAGATAAAATAAAATATTTTAGTTGCTAACTCGAGCTTAGCTTAGAAAATCCCTTTGGAAGTAAAAATTTGGACATTTCTGTTCATACATCACCCAACACGTGGATTTGGAAAATAGAGTTATAATTTGAGCTCTCTATCTGTTTTTATGAAAGTAAAGAAACTTAACATTTCAACATCTTCCAATTTGCCAAACTCTAAGTGATAACTTACAAATATAAAAGCAAAAAGAAAACAAATGAAGAGGATATGGGGACTGCCAAAAACAAAGAATGATATTAGATATAAACTCTTCCATAAGAAATAGAGATGGGCATTTGCCCCGGTCTGCAGGGATCCGGTCCGACTCGAATGGGATGGGGAATCCCCGAAAAATTTGGGAATATGACCGGGGATGGTCCTTAGAAAAATCCCTGCACTCGGGGATGAGCCGAGGGAGGGGATAGTGCAATCCCCCGCCCGCCTCGCTATTTTGAGAATTTTATGTATTTTCTCTTTGCGAGATTATATATAAAATTAGAGTTTAAATCATGGTTTTAAGTAATGTATTTAAATTTATGATATTTATTTTTATAATATTTTCTAATGTTTGTATTAAATTTATAGAAAAATAATTTAAATGAGGGAGTCTAATAATTAAATATATGTATTATTATTTTGTGAATTTCACAAAATAATAATACATGGCCCAAAAATAAATTTGATTAGATTATTACAATTGACCAAATCAATATATTATGAGGTTTATGTCACAATGGATGATTTGAGTCTATTATGAGGTTTATGTCGCAGCTTGAAGGATGTTTATATTTTATTGCTTTGAAATCCATGAGCATGTTCCAATTTTTGCCAAGAAATTGTTATTCACCATATACATATCAATTCTCAGCAAAATTTTCTTTCAGGTATTTATTTTATAAATTTTAGTAGATGAGACCATTTCAGTAGAACATTACAATGCCTCAGCAACATAAAGCATTAGAATGTGGAATCTAAATTCCTCTATTTAATACCATATAGAAAATGTGTCACTAACTTAGTAACAATTAAATTAGTTTATGGTGGTAGTTATGTATTGCTTTTTGGATATTAATTTAAATTTTACAAGAAATTGTTGATTTTATATTTTCTTACCTTAAATTCAACTTTTTTAATGAAATAACTACTGAAATTAAACAGTCAAATTGTCAAATATAGTACCTACCAAAGTGCTAGTTTCTCACAATTAAAATAATTTAATATCATTGTCATGAGAATATGCGAAAAGTTTTGATCTACAAGGGGCAAAAATCTCTGCACAAAAGATCCTCGTTCGGGGATAAATCCTCGCGAAGCCCCTTTCATCGAGTCGGGCTGGGACGGGGATGGGAGTGATTCCATCCCCATGGGCCTAGGACGGTCATGAGAAAAATCTCCACCCATAGGGACGTGGACGGGAACAGGGAATAAGGTCCCTGGCCCGCACCCATCCCTAATAAGAAAGTGTTGTGAAAGTGTAATTTTTGTCTTATAAGAAAGTGTTGTGAAATTTTTTAAAGACAAGTCCATATATAATATATTTAGGGGCTATTTGGTTGGAGGTAATCTAAGATTACTAGGTTATGTCATCTTATATTACTTGATTACCATGTTTGATTGTTAAGTAATATAAGATTCCGATAATTTTGTATTACCAATAGCTATTACTATTGGTAATATTGGAGGTAATCTGGTTATCTCCATTTTTTTAGGTATTGTAAGATTACCAAGATAATCTTATTTTTGTTACAATTTTATCCCTTATTAATAAAAAATTTGGACAATAATACCCCTGTTTTAAAATCAATTTACAAATATATCATTTCAATTTTACCCTTGTTTAATTAAGTTTTTGGAAATAAGGCCCTTATATTTAAAACAAATTACAGATCACCACCACCACCCAGTCACCACCACTAACAGCGGGCCAACCACCACGGACCACCGTCGGAGTCCCTAAAAATGACCGAGAGTCGCTGGGAGGTTCCGGGAGGCTTCGATAACGGCCATATCTGGTCGAAAATGGCCAGATCTATTCTGTCAATTTCCAACCAAATATGGGCTAGATCTGGCTGTTAATGGCCAGGTCCATGGCCGTTAACGGCTAGATCTGGACCTGGCCATTAACAGCTAGATCTAGCCCAGATCTAGCTGCTAATGGCCAAGGATTTGGCCTGATATGGCCGTTTTTGGCCATCAATATGGCTAGAAACAGCCATATCGGAGCCTCGCGGTCACGGTGAGCTACTCACGGTGATTTCTGACGGTGGTTTGTGGCGGCGGCAGGGGGTGGGGGTGATTCTGTCATAAATTAGAGTTTTATATAAGCGGGGGTGTTTTAGCTAAATATGCAATATTGGGGGTTAGAAAAAATTATTCAAAAATTAATAATATAATATTATATTGATATTTAAAAAGAGGGCAATTTAGTAATTTAAATAACATATCCGCAAATTTGTTCCCCCTAACCAAACATATTAATATAATATACCCATCAACTAACCAAACACATTTTTCTAAAGATTCCCAGTAATCTTCAAGGCAATATAAGATTCCAGTAATCTAACATTCCTAGTAATCCAACATTCCTTGAACCAAACGCACCCTTAGAGTCATTTGCATTAATTTTATAGGAAGATGAGAAGGAGGTTTGCTCCATTCCTTAAGTTTTTGGGTTCAAATCTTGGGGCCACATACCACAATAACATTATGGTTTACCTGATCCTTTAGGTTTGTAGGGTGTTCAATGGACCTTGGGGATTAATTGAGATGTATGCAAGCTGGTTCGGATATCTCGATTACCGAAAAAAAAAAAGATTAGATTGATTAATTCATCAGCTTTTTTTATTCTAAAAAATTGAATAAGAGGGGTAATAGGGTTTTTTGTTAGTCTAAGCCTAACAACAATGTATTAGAGTTAGTGTCAAAAAGGGACATCAGTGATAAGTTTTTAAACTTTAAGGATCAATTTAATACAGCAAAGGGTATGAATGATATAGTTTTCAAATTTTAAGGATTTATCTGTGATAAAAGGTGTAAGAAAAGAAAATTAATTTTTATTTTTTAACTTTATCAAGCAATGCCATGCAACGAAAGTTCAACGAAAGCCGCAATAATAACTCTTTGCCAACTTTGCTACAACAAGCGCCATAAATCATCGAATTTAGACGCTTAAACCTCAATTAAAATCCAAACCCATCTCTAAGTTTCCCTTGCTTAACCATTTCCATTTGCAAACTCCACTCCATTTTCAGTCCAACGTAAACAGTGAACAAAGAAGAAGAATTGTCTGAAGCCAAAACCAAACCAATCAACAAACACACTTCCAACTACCCACATTCATTGACCGAACAAACCAGTAAAAAATACTACCTAATACTTCTGTCGTATTTATTAACTCGCATAAATATAACTACCTAACAAACATGTTAAGCCGCGCATCGAAAGCTGTCTTATTTAATAACCATTGTCTTATAAGACTCCCTTTGTACAACTGGCGCTTTTGCCGTGAAAATCTCTGTGATTCTTCGCGTTTTCGAGCTCTTTTAACCAGGGGAGAGTCCCAGTTCTGCCTCTCGCAAGCTCGTTTTCTTTCTTGTAAGTGGGTTTTTGTTTGATTTCGATGGTGAATGATGGTTTGTTGAGTCAGTATAATGTTCGAAGAAAGTACTGACTCGGGTTTGGGGTCTATTTTGTTTTCGAATTTTTAGGTGAATTATGGTCGTTTGTGAAAACCCAGTTATGTGTTAGTAATAATGATGGGTTTGGTGATGGAATTCTGCATTAGTTTGTTTTTGAAAGAGGTAATTTTGTTTTCTTGGAATCAAAACAGATTTTCATTTTTTTTTTCTCAGCTGAATTTTGCTTTTTTCCTTTTCTTCTCTCTCTCATTTTTTTAATCTTTATAAAGGAACAGTTTGTTAGCTAAAAAGGGGGCCTTTTTTTTTCCATGTGTCAAATCAAGGATTTTGATCTGTGTTGTTGTAAAGCCCCTTTCTTGTTAATTAGTCACTTGTTAGTTGTTACTATATATGTGATCATGATTCCACCTTTTTGGTGGTTGAACCGTACAAATTTGCTCTGAGACGCTACTGTGGGCAATTATGTAGTATTCTCTTATAAAATATAAATATTATGTTGCTTTTTTGGGACTCACAAATGACAAACTCTATAAATCTCAGAATTTAAGATGGGATTTGACTAAATTAAATGAAAACTGCTGTTCATTTGGATCTACCTAAGAAAAATGTCATCTTGAGTATTGAGCATTAGTTGTCAAATTTTAAGGGCTAAATGGATTCGCGAACCTTATTTGTTTAATCATTTATTCCTTTGGCTTGATTATATTTGAATGGGATATAAATGCCAAGCAACAATTTGAAGAGTTATTCTGGTGTAAAAAATAAATTTAAGTATGTTCTGGTGACATAAACCAAGTTTGCTTATAATTCTGCTCCAAACTGTCTGCAGCATTACGATCTTCTACATTCATGGAGGTTGTCAAAGCAGCTTGTAGACAAGGTTCTGTGGCTCTTGATAGTGTTGCAATTAGAGCTGATGAGAAGAGTTACAGTTACACACAACTTGTCTCATCTGCCTTAAGAATATCTAGGCTGTTGAGCAGTAATGACCTTAATGCTGTGAGTTGGAAGTCACTTATTCTATTTTAATGACTTTATAGATTAAATAGTGTATATTCATTCATAAGCTTTTGGCCTGTCTATTGAATTTAAAGCACTGCAGGAAGTTGAAGTTGATCACTCATTAACACTTGAAGTGCAATGCTTCTTCTGAAGTTGTGTCTTAGCTATGTTTGTGTGCGAACATGTATTATTAATCTGTTTCGTATCTCAATTTGACCTGTGTGTGTTTGTAAATTGGTGTAGATGATCACATCCTGCAATTCTAGTTTAATTCTTGCTGTTGTTTTCATTTTTGAAATTCTAATCCAACCTACTCATTGTTTATTCATACTCATGATGCTATCAAAAATGAAAGTCAGCTGTGCCAGCTGGAGGGTGTGGAGCACGGATAGGAATTGTGGCTAAGCCTTGTGCTGAGTTTGTTGCAGCAGTACTAGGGACTTGGTTTAGTGGACGTGTTGCAGTTCCACTTGCACTGAGCTACCCTGAGTCTGAACTCTTGCATGTGATGCATGATTCGGTATGCCTAATGAAGTTTTACTTTACTATCATTATATTTAGTTAGGAATAATATATAATTCTTCTTAAGTTTAGAAGTATGTCTTTGCACCCACATAAAATACCAATTGTTGATTAAATTCAGCTATGGGAGTCAAGGTTCTGTTCGAATAAGTAAGATGTTGGATCCTTTGGATTTATGATTTTCCAACACTATACTTTTGGAAGAGTTCTCATTCATGCCATGCTGCATCATCTTCACTTTGTAATAACCTTTTCAAATTTCTTGGGACTAATTTTTTTTTAATTCTCATTTTCATTTGATTTTAGGATATATCCATGGTACTAAGTACAGAGGATTATCATGAAGTCATGCAAAATGTTGCTTCAAAAAGTGCTGCTCAATTTTCTCTAATCCCACTTGTTCCCAATGTTTCTTCAGAGACGACTACACATGATCACTCTGAAGTTGAAGAAATAGATGCAGATAGAGGTTTGCTCAAGAATATTAAGAAGTAAAATAAGATAGATTATTTGACTTTCAGTAACTTTTAGAGTGTCTTGTGGGATAACATGAAGTTATGGGCAATGTTTTTCCCAATCTTGCAGGTGAGGACCCAGCATTAATTGTTTACACAAGTGGTACAACTGGGAAACCAAAAGGAGTTGTTCATACACACAGAAGCATTAATGCACAGGTTTATGCCTAATTACCATATACCTCATGAATTTTACCATCCAATAGTGTAATTTATTTTTATTATCAGTGCCTGCAGTGAGAAGTAGAAAATCTAAAAAAGTTAGTCACTTTTAGTGGTTTTGAAGTGTAACATACCCATATTATGAGAATGCTTATTCTATGTACAATTCATAAATTCATATGCATTTTTGTAGACTTGCCATTATCTGATGTTGCCTGTTTATTACTGTTAGACTTTGAATATTATCGTTCAATTATTTCCTTTAAGCTTAAGTTTTGCCATTAAAGGTTTCTTTAACATGGTACTAGAGCCTATTTGACGAAGAGATATAGTATCCAAATTTTGTGTTTGGATCCATGTGATAAAGGCAGTTGAACAAAATTCAACCATACACATGAGAGGATATGCTAGTACAGTAGTTTTTGTATTAGTGTTAAAGTTTAACTAATACTATTAGGCAATTTCTTATAAGTTTGGACTTTTTGGAATTAATGTTTTTTCAACAATGTGATTGAAGTTATCGTTTTTAATTTATGTAATGTTCTCCCTCTTAACTTCAGTTTCTTAATTCTTGAGTTCAGGTCCAAATGTTAGCTGAGGCTTGGGGGTATACATCAGCTGATCAATTTCTGCATTGTCTACCACTACATCATATCCACCAAAATATATTTATTTGTATTACAAATATTTCCTGTTGCTAGTGCTGTCAGTTCCTGAATTGTGTGTCATACAAACTTAAACAGAATTTAAAATTTTGTTCAGTATTAATCCTTAACCAATGATTTACATGTGCACGGACTTTTCAATGCTTTATTTGCCCCTCTTTATGCGGGTGCCACGGTAACCATTCTGTACTATCATTTTTGTTAGTGTTCTCCGTTTGAGTGTATGTGTATGCTTCCTTGCAGTTGTTATATGCTTAGGCAAGGAATCTCTTGAACTATGACAATGTAGTTTGGTTATACTAGTTCCTGATTTTAATTCATTTGGTCACTATATTGAAGGTTGAGTTCATGCCAAAATTCAGTGTGAGGGGAATCTGGCAGAGGTGGCGTGAATCATATCCATTGAATGGGATCAAGTCTGGTGATGCAACAACTGTTTTTACTGGAGTAAGTCTAGTATTTACCATAAGTATGTGAATTTAAATGAGGGTCAGTTTTTTATCTTGACTGAGCTATCTTTATGCCTTGCATAGATATCAATATACTTTAAAGTTTAAATTCTACAGAGTTGGACCCTTTTGTGTTGACTCTGGACTTGCAAATTTTATACTTTCTCTAATCAGCTGCAGCGATTTGTAATATCATGTGATGTTTGTTTGGATTGTGATAGGAACCCACTCTAATAACTCAACAATTTGGGCTGGGTCATGGGTCTATTATGGGCCTGGGTAGAACTCTCTTTGAAAAACCGACTTGCCAAAGGAGAGTGCTCAAGCTTTTATAACCTACATGTCCACCTTTTTCTCTTTCAATGTGGGATCCTAACAGATTGTTATTTAGACATCACTTGTCAATGGATAATAATCTCATAAGGAAATTTTTTCTATAGAATCCGAATCTAATTTGTTCTAATTTTTTGTGCGGTTGAAATGTGATTAATCCAATTCCCAAGATTATTACTAAAGTTCCAATATTGGATGTTTTTAAAAATTCTAGCACTTTTGTATTTTACAGGTTCCGACAATGTATACCCGATTGATACAAGGTTATGAAGTTATGGATACAGAGCTGCAAACTGCTTCTGCTTCTGCCGGAAGACAGTTGCGCCTTATGGTTTGTAGCCTGGAAGACTCCTTACGTTATTCTGTATCTACTAAAAATGGGCATTTATATCCTACTCTATATATTATATTATGATTTATGGCCATCTTATTGTTTAGGTTGTTCTCAGTTGATTGTTATCCTGCCAGAGTCAATGAATGTGAGAGTCAATGAATGTGTGTACCCACATTAACTTTTCCTCTCTTCCCCAGATGTGTGGCTCCTCTGCACTCCCTCTTCCTGTCATGCAACAATGGGAAACCATCACAGGGCACCGCCTTTTGGAACGTTATGGTATGACTGAGGTAAGTAAACCCAGCTTAAGTTTCTTGTAGGCTATTCTTTTGCTTCAAGATAAAGTGCATGAAAGTGTTTTCGTTTTTTTTCAATAGAGTTGCATAGTTATGATGATGGTTTGGTTTCTTTAGTTTGTCATGGCCATATCAAATCCTTTAAGAGGTGAACGAAAGCCAGGCACTGTCGGCAAACCATTTCCTGGCGTGGAGGTTAGCACTGTTATTCTATTGTCCATTAAAGTGCTTCATCATTTATATTTGAAAAACAAATTAAGAAGTTCCATAATTTATGAACCAAGTCTATGCATATGCTTTGATAATAATTAACATCCTCATTTAGTTAACGATTAATTGGACTGATTAGTTGGGGAATGTTATCAGTATCGTGATGAGCATAAACATTCTGTTAGCTGTTCTTTTCTCGAAAGAAATTACTGTTTAATGTTTAATTTTTAATCAAGACTGTCTTTGTGATATTATTGTATCTGTGATAGGTCAAGATTGCTGAAGACGAGAGTGGAAGTGATACAGTGGGAGTGGGAGAGCTTTGCGTTAAAAGCCCTTCATTGTTTAAGGAATACTGGAAACTTCCAGAGGTATTTATACTTGCATATTTTTCCTTCCCTTTCATGCAGTTGCTCAGCTCTCTATTACACAAACATAAAACAAGAGACATATGCTGCCTTTTCTTTTCCTTCTTTTTGTCCCCTTCTTTATTCCATGTGATCTGATCTCTTGTTAATAAGCACCACACAACCTGTTGTTTCTTTATTTTATTTTATTTTCACTTAGTTTTCATCATCATGTTGACCTGGGAAACTCTCTACTATGTATTGAAACTGCTACTTTTGCAGGATTTTAGAAGATTAAACTTTTTTTTCCCTGATTAGCATAAGCTAGGAGGAAACTGACTGATGAAGGAAACTGGGTGATTATCTGATGTATTGTGTCCCATTTATTTGGTTTCTAAATGTTTTGGGCTGTATTCCCAATTGAGTACTAAAAATTTATTTTCTTAATCATTAATGTATGAAAAATGTGAATTTAGGATGCACACATTGTTTTCGACAAGCAGTCACTTTAATGAAGAATTTTAAATCCGCTTTAGCAATACATATATGTAGACAATGCAGTTTAAGATGTTTATGTAATTTCATTTTTTGTTTCTTTTTTGCCATGTAGGTAACTGAGAACTCATTTACTGATGATGGCTTCTTTAAGACTGGGGACACTGGAAAAGTGGATGAAGATGGATACTTCATCATTTTGGGACGTAAGGAGATTTACTTTCACATTAGCCCTCTTATTATTATGTTTTTTGTATCCAAAGCACATACTTTTGCTTTTGGCATCTTACCGAAAATTTTACTAAACAAGCAATTTTTTGTGACTTTCCAACATGCATTATGTAATGTGCTCATATTTTGGTGCTGCTTCTTGTTAAACAAAGATGTTTTCTCCAATCTAATTCATTAGGGAATAAAATTACAGCACGTACTTCATCATTTGGTTCTGCTCATTGAATTTAGGTTAGTAGGTATAAGCTATATCTGTAAAATTATTATTTTATAAAATGAATTTGAGCTAGTAGCAACTATTATTGAGTTAGACTTTCCTGGTTAATGTAAGCTAGAAAAACACTTAAAATATGATGCATTAAAGGTTTTAGTTGAATTCTCTTCTGACAGCTGCAGTCTAATGCCATAGTTTATTAGTTCCCAGAAACCTCATATTCATCACATGCTTTTTTAGTAGCTATTTGACCTCATAATTGCTATTTTCCATTAATGTTTGTAATTTGTTACTTTTTCCAGGTACAAACGCAGATATTATGAAGGTTGGTGGATACAAATTATCTGCATTGGAAATTGAATCAGTTATTCTAGAGGTAATTACTTTTCCTTTCATTATACTCTGTTGTCATAAAAAAACTCCAGATGTCAGTTCATTTTCTTCTTTTCTTTCAGTTCTTTTTTCCTAGAAAAGTATAACAAAATAAGAGAAACTAAACAAGAAATTATCTGAACAGAATGTTTACTGAAAGAATAAAATCTTCTTTTGTTCAGCATCCGGTTGTTGCAGAATGTTGTGTATTGGGCTTACCAGACAAAGACTATGGAGATGCTGTATCAGTGATTATTGTGCCTGACGAAGAAGCAAGGAAAAAGCAAAAGGAATCAGCAAAGCCTGTTATAAGCTTGGAAGAACTTTGCACATGGGCTAAAGACAAACTTGCACCATACAAGGTATGGCATCATAACCGTTTTCCACATTTTTGTTTTCTCTTAACTGAATATTTTGGGTGAGCTCAAATTTATTTGCGGAATGTCTCTCATCTCTTGCTTAAAAGTTGCATTTGCATATTTATAAGAAAGATGTAATACTGATTCTTTTCTCTTTCAATTCCAAGTTTGATGACAAACAAAATTCTGCAAATGGGTTGGTGTCATTTTAAGACTAAATGCATTTGGCATTGTGTTTAAGCTTAAGAAGGGGTTTGTTAGAACCATGGACTCACTATAAACTACTTCTACTGTCTCAGCTAGCCAAACACAGCCAGAACCACTCTTCCATATAATTTTTTCTATCCGTTTGCATCTTTTAATCTAGTTCCCTCCTCCAAAGTTCAATTTATTGAGGGGTTGTATTTTCTGTCTTGGTAGTTGAATAAAATATCATTATGACTACCCATTTAACTTCTTTTGATTGATTCATGAAAATTTCCCCTATATTTTAAGATTAACTTTGATTGCTGATATATTTCTTTCCAGCTACCAACCCGATTATTCTTGTGGGACTCGCTGCCCCGAAATGCTATGGGAAAGGTAAATTACTCATGTGTCTATTATCCTTTTCGACAAGAAAAAATCACTTCATTTCCTTTTAGTACAGAGAGATATTATAGGAGCGTAAAGATTACTTCATTAGGAATGTTTATGGCCACTTTCAGGTGAATAAGAAAGAGTTGAAGAAACAACTGGCTGCAGATCAATGATCCCATTTGGTTGTAAATCAGAAGCGGGAACTGCAACAGCCATTTTTTGAATACGTATATTCAAACCAGAGGCATCCATTCATTGTTTTCCTTTTGGTTGTGACCAAAAAGTGTAAGAGTGTGTGTAATATATAGTTGTGAAGCGGCTAGTAAGACTTACATTTCCTTAGGCAATTTAAGCCTTACACCAACTCTTACATATATATAAGGAAGAATAATATTTACCCATTGTGCTGGCTTAGAATTGTGTCAAAGAAATAATAAGCCATCCCACCATTAATACTTTGGTTAGCCTTTTATTCAAAACGATCAGCCATTACCAACCATTTGGCCTACACTTCTAACTTTTGGGGATGAGAATGTTTGTTTCCAAAAATTGGGGGTGGCAGCGTAAGTGAACCTCAAAAACCCAATAAAAGCATAGGGTGCGTTTAGTTTATTATTTTGGATAGGATTTTGGAGAGAGTATTGGATAGTTGAATATGGTGATTATTATGAAGTAAAATTTAAAAATTTCAACAAACCCCCTAGGTTTGTTAATTTAACTAAACACCCTAATATATAAAATTTTTGTAAAATGACAAAAACATCTCCACCCACCCACGTGCGTCTGGTCGGACGTGCGTCGATCTGGCATTTTCTGGCCAAATCTGTGGATCTTTGGTAGTCGCTGATAGCAAGATCTGGCCTTTTCTGGTCAGATTTTTTAGCCAGATCTTGCTATCAACGACGACCAAAGATATGATCATCGTTGTCGATCAACGACGGCCAAATCGGTGAATTATAAGCAAGTTTCGGTCGTTTGTAGGCTTTTGTGACAGATTCCGACTACCATCGACGGTGGTTGTCGGAATCTGGCAACTATAGGTGGGTGGGGGTGTTTTTGTTAATTCTTAAACTTTTTTTTAGGAGTATTTAATGAAATTAATAAACTTAAGGGGTCTAAAAGTAATTAAAAAAATATAATAGTATTTCCTAAATAATTAAACAAACAAATATTTTGGAAATGGAGATAGAAATATTAAACCAAATGCATCCATAAAAATCGTCTTATATGAGTATCTTCTTAAAGGGTGAGTTTAAAATGAAGATTGCACATAGGTGTATATAATAATAACTACAATTAGGTGGAGGGCATCTAGCAAGTAGCTACATTCAAAAATAAAAATAAAGGAAAAGGCAAAAGAAAGAAAAGTACCAAAACCAAAAAAGTGTCATGTGAACCTCTTATTGACCGAATGTCAAATTCTTTAGTCATCTCGGGTTAATTATATTCAAGGGTTTTGTGTTTGAGTTTTTGGAGAGGTAATTACCAACATTTATATTTTTTCACCAAAAACTCTCTTTAAAACTCCAAGGGGATGGTCTGTCGATCAAGATGTTTGTTCTCTTTATTGATTTTTTGGGTTTAAACCATCGTGGAGTCACCTATCACATCTGTGATTTACCTTAAATATTGGGCTTATAGAGTATCAATGGATCTCAAGGACTAATAGAAGTGCACGCAATCTGTTAGACACCACAATCATTAAAAAAAAAAAAAAAGTGGGGGATTCATGTGCACAGCCAATCTGGTAGGACAAGACATTGATTTGAGTGGACTAACGTTAAACGAACATCAATAATTAAGAAAGCATTGAAATGAAATCAATTGAAACCTACATTAACGAATGGAGTCAAAATGAAACTGGACCCATTTGACACCTCTAATCTGCTGGTTTGGTTTATACATGAAAAATGGGTTCATTTGTTTGAATGGAATCCTCAAAAGCAGTTGATTCCAAAGAGTAAAAGACATGTATGAGTAACATGCATGCATTTAGTCCAAAGGAAAAGCCCTACCAAATCTAATCTAAAAAGTGCCATCCTTTTCTTCTCACAGAAATTAATTATTTGTCCCATTATTCACTTCACCAAAAACCTTGCATTATTGATCTTTAAAATTTGAATCCCTCTTTATAATTGTAGAATTATTAAAAAAAAAAAAAACATATTGCTTTTACATCAGGACGTAAATTTTGATATCGTTTTTGAAATATATTCTTATAGATCTTATGACCCGTGTAAATTAATGAAAATGAGATTCATTTTTATTACTTTTTTATTAATCACCCTTCAAAATTTTATATTTTGTACCGATAAAAATTAGATTAAGAAAGAATTATTGTCGATATCGTCCATGAGCTCTCTTACCCTAAAGTTTGATAAAATTACCTAAAACCTTTCCTCTTATTATATAAATTTTTAACCCAAAAGAGATACTATTTCAATCAGGTGTCTTTATACTTGAAGTGAAAGGAGATTGATGGCAACTTGACATGATATTAATAACAGTTAGTCTTCCAAATTGCCCTGCATTTCGTCTGTTGGGTAAATGTCAGTTGTCACGGGCTAAGAGTTTCATACTAAAAGGCTAATTTATTAGGTAGAGGTCTTCTCCTATTTATAAGCTCAAACCTTCCTAATACGTTTCCAATATGAGATTCTTTACATTCTCTCCCACCCAATCTTGTGACGCCCTTCACAAATGGGGCACCTTGCCTACCTGTTCACCTCACTCTCGTGTGGACCCACAATCACACGTGGACGCCCTTGTGTGACGTTTAACGGGACATCGAAAGACAGATCGGATCTGCTCTGATACCACTTTTCACGCTGGGATTTTCACACCCAAAGGCTAACCTATTAGATGGAAGAACTCCCCCCATTATAAAGCCCAGACCTCCCCAATACTTTTCCGATGTAAGATTCGTTACACAGTGAAGAATAATGAATTTAGATCACGTAGAAGATTTCCTTTTTTTTCTTTTGTTTGTTGGCCTGCTTGTCTTTCTTTTAGTTCCTTAATTCTGTTTTTTACCAGGTTATCATGCTTCTGTAAAATCCTGAAACCCAAATTGTATCCCGGTTGATTTTATCAGTACATTCCCAATATTTTTGTTAAGATTCTCCAGGCTCTCGCAGAGAAATCAAAATGCAAAATCTTGTGAAAAGTTGTTTCCTCAGAATGGTCACTATCTCACTAGTTTCTAAATGCTGTATACACATTTCTGCAGATGTGAAACATATTTCATTCGGAGGATTTCTGGATTATTAACAGAAAGGAAAGAAACCACTGAATTTCATTGATAAAGACAGTGCAAATACATATATATATGTTGAAGAAGAATAGAATGGGTATTAAAGAGAATTGTATCGCAATACCTTTCTATAAATGATACAAGAACAGAGATAATATTATAAAAAGGTTCAAAAACTATAATTCTAATTACTTTCACCCAGTTAAATAGATATACATTCACTATAACAAATCATACCAGGTAAAACACAAATCAAGCTGATGATAAATCTCTGGACTTAGACAAAACTTCTTCCTTCAAGCCATTGCTTTCATCGCCAACTCTCGCCCCTAGATCAGATAACTCTTCTTCCTCCCTTATGCCGTTCCCTTCAACATTAGCACTTGCTATGCGCTCAATGCAAGGTCCATAAGCCCAACTGCATGCTAGAAAGTATATCATATTGATGAGACTCAGAATGGCGAGAAGCCAATAGTAGTTGTCGTAGTGACCCTTGTTAATGTTACTCGAAACCCAACTTTCTTTGCCGCCTTTTGAAGTAAGGTCGTTGACAGTGCTTACTATAAGACTTGCTAGTAAGTTTGCCACAGCCATTCCTAGACCAAATAGAGCAGAAGCTATACTTGACATACTCTTGGGGAATTCAGAATAGTAAAATTCAGTCTGCCCGATTGCATTAAAAGCTTCAGCAAAGCCATTCAAGAGATGTTGTGGGATAAGCCACATTGCAGACATGTCCAGGACTGCACGAGGATTGTTCAAATATCCTTCTCGAATCGCTTTTCTTCGTCTAGCATTTTCGACAATACCTGAAACCACCATGCCCAAGCAAGAGAGAAATAGTCCAATTCCCATCCTTAGCTTAACGCCAAGTCGTACTGGTTTGCCTTTGATCTTTGATGCCAAGGGAAGGATTGCACGATCATAAAGGACTACCCATATTGCTAGAGCGATGACTGTGAACATTCCGAAAGAGCCTGCCGGAATTTGGAAGCTTGAAGTGATATGTCGGTCCATGGAGCTAGCTTGGAGCACTGGGAATGAGTTTTGGCTAATGTTTATTGACATCATGATCCCTGTAGACCACAATGGTATGACCTTTAAGAGTGCTTTCAGCTCTTCTACCTGCTCTATTGTGCAAAGATGCCATGGGTTTGACGCTGATCCATCTGCAGCTATGTCTTGTTCAGGATTTCTAATGATGCAAGCTTTATTTAAAAACCTGATGGAAAAAAGCAACAAAATTCATCAAACTTTCAACACCAGCAAGACAAATCCACGAATATGAAAATGAATTGGTGTTACCTTAGTTTTTTTGTTGGCACAAGAACTTCAGAACCTTTCTTACGATGGTAACACCTAGTAGAGTTAGGAGGTGGCAATGGGAGTTTTCTGTTCTTATAAGCAACAACAGCCACTTGTGCGAAGCCAGTGAACAAGCTCGTGCTTGCTTGCATTTTGATATAGAGGGGAGAAGCGAGGCAAAACAAAAAAGCCGAAAAGAACATAAGGATTGCAGGAACTCCGAACCCCACTCTCCATCCAAAATGATCCTGAATATAAACAATAGCCGTTAAAGCAATCACCACAGAAATGGCAGCTGATGCATAGTACCAACCAAAGAAGCTCTCTATGACCCTCTCATTTTTGGGGTTATCTCTTCTGTCCAATTGATCGGCTCCAAATGCTATGGAACAGGGTCGAATGCCACCAGCTCCAATGGCCATGAGGATGAATGAGGAGATTAACAGAGTCATTTGAGAAGCTGTTGGGGATTGACATTTTTGACCCGATAACATATCGCATGGAGGAGGCTTTACTTTTGGAATCATTGCTGTTAACCATAAGAGTATCGTCCCCTGTGACATTAATAATATGATATGAGAGGCAGTTCAATCCATTAACAAACAGATTCTGATTAATATCTATCAACTCAACCTTGCTATACAAAGCATTAACTAAGTACATTCCACCATCTCGACCTTCAAAGAATCCTTTTAGGAATTCTCATTAACAAACTCTCTGAGCAAAGACTAAAACTAAGCTTCACTACATATGTATGTATCGCGATGTTTTCAATCGTTCAAAATATTCTATTCAAACACAACATCAGTTCCTTCAGTTTCTAATTTCATTAACTTATGAACAAGCAATGCAAGTGTTCAACATAAATTTTTTGTGACATTGGAGATTGTTGTGAACCTGTGACAACGATAAACACAAAATCAATTTTTAAAATGCCAGTATGAGGCTCCGAGTTTCCCATCTCAATGCCTATTCATAAAATTAACCCCAGCTGATTTGCATAGCACCAATCAGCCACTTAACTTTGACATAATTTTCTCCTGGGGTCAAAACTTAAAGATAGTTGGACACATCAAAATTGACTGAACCACCCCAATTTGTTTATATTTTCCCCCTTTCAAACAAAACCAAATTGAATAAAATTTGAGTATTCACAACACTAAAGATCCTCTCAAGGCCATAATATTATAATTCACAGCATCTCTATCAAAGCGGTTACTCTTCAAAGTTATAAAGTCATTGTCAACCACTTGGATTAGACATTAGACAACCAGCCATTATTAAATAACCTGCAAAAGGGGTTCTTTCCAAGTTTGAATTCTTTAACTTGAATTGGACCATTCTCCACAAAAAACTTTCTGAGCTAAAGTTAATATATTTGCGGCATTCCATGACCTTTTCCACAGAAGAATGTTGAAAAAAAGGTACAAGATTAGATGTTTTACCAATTATTCACATGGGTCTGGTAAAAGTCAAACATTGTTAGGAATCTGCATCTGCTGCAAATATATACACTCATAATGACATGCTACACATATTCAAAGTCCGGTTCTGAAACTATTATACCAATAAATAAAAAATCCCATTGAAAATGACACATTATATTACCAAAAGCCGGTGCTTAATTTAATCTAAGACTCTATGTTAAGCTAGAATAGATATCAGATTTCTCAATCAGTCTCTAGCCGGCTTAACCACTAGTAATGTCGCAAATGCAGAGACTTGAGTAAAAGTACATTTGATTTAATAGGAAGAGAAATAGACATGAAGAGGACTACTTGGAGGGAGAATTTTTTACCAGGAGGCTGACGATGGAGCCTAAACCGATGGTGAGGAAGCGACCCAGATAAGAATCGGAGAGAAAAGCGCCCAAAATAGGCATGAAATTTGTGGCGGCAGTCCAGAAAAAGAGAATATTGGTCCCTTTGGCAACACTGAGATGATAATCTCCGATGAAGTAGAGGATCATGTTTGGAACTAGCCCATAACTTGCCACCTTCTCAAATGCCTCGTTTGCTGTTTCAGAAAATGTCCATCAACCGAATTCAAATTCAAGATTTTGACCATAAGTTAAGATCATGAAAGCAAAGAAAACTTAAAAGATCACTGAAAAACTTAATAAACCCAGTAAAAAGTAAAGAAGTTGCATGTTTTTAAGCTTCACATTTGCTGTTTCAGAAAATGTTCATCGACCAAACCAAACTCAAATTCAAGATTTTGACCACAAGTTAAGATCATCAAAGCAAAGAAAACTTGAAAGATTACTAAAAAAACTTAATAAACCCAGTAAAAAAGTAAAGAATTTTCATGTTTGTAAGCTTCATTTGCTTCTGCAAGTGAGGAAAATATCACTACCAGATTCAACAGCTGGAAGATAAAGTAAGAACATGATGAGAAAAGTACAAAACACACATGCTTCCTCCTCCTCCTCTTTTTTTTTTTTTTTTTTTTTTTAACTAGGTGTGCCAGTGCATGTCATACATAACCAACATGGAGATGAACACACAAACTTCAAGGATCAAGACTCCCAGAATCCAAGAAAATCACACAAACCCATGTAGAAAAAATCGATAATTATGATGCATTTGTGCATATTTACCAATAATGAATGGCATAGTAATGAGGCCACCCTTTCTTCTTTTTAAAGAAGCTGAAGAAGGAGCATCATTGAGATGGTCACTCATGGTTCTTTGATCTGAAATTGGCTCCTCAATCTTGTCCTCCATTATTGAAGTAGTCCAGAGCTTCAAGTGGGTTGCTTGTTTGAAGAAAGAGAGAGAGAGAGATGGAAAATCTAAGAGAAGTAGAGAGTAGGTTGGAGAGTTTATAGTAACAGCATGACTTTCAGACAAAGATCTCCTTGCGTGTAATAACTGCTAAATGAATAAGACTTCACTTTCTTGTTTCAGTCCAATACCAAAAAAGTAAATTACCAGATAAAATTTTTATATTTTATTATTAAATATTATCATAAATTAATTATTGAGGTGAAACATCCCATGATCTTTGCAGCTTTTCTTCCATAGTTTACGTCAGATTTCACACTACCTTTATTTCATTCCTTTGCTTTTTTTTTAAAAAGTTTTAATAAATAACCTGAAATATATGCTAATTAAATATTTACACGATATTGAGTGGTTTGATAGGAACTCGTAGATGTATTATTCAAAAAAATTATGAGTTTGAGTTTTTTCTCGATTGTTAATAGGGGTAGTTACTGAAGTTTTTATCCAACTGATGGTTCTAGGATTCTGAGAAATTAGTTGAGATGTGTGTAAGCTGATCCGAACGCCCCCAACTCTCAAAAAATATAATATCTATTTGACCCAAAAACTTAAGTCATTAAAACAGAAATGTAAAATGAGATTTTATCTTTAAAGTTTAGGGTTTATTTTATTTTTCCTGTGAGATTGTTTAGTATTAAATTTGTTTGTTTCATTACTAATATATTAGGGGCTCTTTGGTTTGTTATTTTGGATAGGATTTTAGAAATAATATTGGATAGTCGAATATGGTGATTATTACGAGGTAAAATTTAAAAATTAACTAAAAAACCCCATAGGTTTGCTAATTTAACTAAACACCTCAATATATAAATTTTTTGTAAAATGACAAAAACACCCCCCCACCTATAGTGCAAGATTTCGGCCACCACTGCCGGAATCTGGCGTTACGACGCAAACTGGTCGGATCTAGCCGGACGTGCGTCAATCTGACATTTTCTGGCTAAATCCACCACAGATCTAGTCGAAAAAGGCCAAATCTAGTCTTTTTCGGCCAGATCGACGGTCAGATCTGGTTGTCAAAGGCCAGATCGGCGAATTACTGGCCAGTTTCGATCGTTTATAGGCCGTTGTGACAGATTTCGGCTACCACCAACAGTAGTTGCCGGAATCTAGCAACTATAGGTGGGTGGAGGTGTTTTTGTTAATTTTTAAACTTTTTTTGGGATATTTAATGAAATTAATAAACTTAAGGGATCTAAAAGTAATTAAAAAAATATAATAATATTTCCTAAATAATTAAACAAACAAATATTTTGGGAATAGAATTGAGAATAGGGTATAAAATAATAAACCAAACGCACCATTAAATATCATCTATCATTACAAAAACCCTTCAAACAATACCAAACACTAGTTTATAAAAATTATAAAAACCTTCTAATATGAGATATTTAATTCTTCTTGAACAAAATGAATGACTTTTAATCTAAGCATCTCACAGTAGAAAAATAAAATAAACATTTACAGTTAAAATGGACCTAACAAAAAAATGATTGGAAAAAACTACCAATGGATGACCTGATGGTAAAAGAACAAATGAAAGTTTTATGAGCTCTTGAATCTGAGTCTCCTCAAAACAATAACAAGGTCGACAATTTTAAAACCTTAAGGGATTAATTAAGATCCGCGTAAACCGGTCCCAATACTTCACATGATCAAAATAATAGTAAGTAAAAAATCTCTTATTTGATATGGTGTGAGAGATGAAAGGCTTTTAGGGATATGGTGTGGCAGGATTCAGAGTCATGAGATGGTCCACATCTTCTTTTGCTTTACTTGGGTAGCCATCATCATTCAAAATGGGCAGATAAAAAGAAGTCCAATCATGAGATGTGAGAAAGATGAACAAACGTACGCACCTGTCTTTCAAATTTTGTGTGCATGCACGTGGGTTATGATCCACACAATCATAAAATAAATAAAATTTCTATAATAATTAATTAAATGTAATGACATGAAATGTGCATTCATTCATCTGTGAGTGTCAGCCGTGTGATATATCAGAATTGAACAGTACTTCTTAACGTTCTTGGAAATTGAAATATCAGATCAAGATTTAATTGGATAAACATAAAAGCAAATTTCTGTTCTCAATTACTATGCAATGCATCATCGTTTTCATCAACTTTCATAGTTTGGAGATAGACGAAAAACTATCCCTCTTGTTCAGGTTTCTAATGATGCAAGCTTTATTTAAAAACCTGATGAGAAAAGCAACAAAATTCATCAAACTTTCAACACCAGCAAGACAAACCACGAATATGAAATGAATTGGTGTTACCTTAGTTTTTTTGTTGGCACAAGACTTCAGAACCTTTCTTACGATGGTAACACACAGTAGAGTTAGGAGGTGGCAATGGGAGTTTTCTGTTCTTATAAGCAACAACAGCCACTTGTGCGAAGCCGTGAACAAGCTCGTGCTTGCTTGCATTTTGATTAGAGGGAGAAGCGAGGCAAAACAAAAAAGCCGAAAAGAACATAAGGATTGCAGGAACTCCGAACCCCACTCTCCATCCAAATGATCCTGAATATAACAATAGCCGTTAAAGCATCACCACAGAAATGGCAGCTGATGCATAGTCCCAACCAAAGAAGCTCTCTATGACCCTCTCATTTTTGGGGTTATCTCTTCTGTCCAATTGATCGGCTCCAAATGCTATGGAACAGGGTCGAATGCCACCAGCTCCAATGGCCATGAGGATGAATGAGGAGATTAACAGAGTCATTTGAGAAGCTGTTGGGATTGACATTTTTGACCCGATAACATATCGCTGGAGGAGGCTTTACTTTTGGAATCATTGCTGTTAACCATAAGAGTATCGTCCCCTGTGACATTAATATATGATATGAGAGGCAGTTCAATCCATTAACAAACAGATTCTGATTAATATCTATAACTCAACCTTGCTATACAAAGCATTAACTAAGTACATTCCACCATCTCGACCTTCAAAGAATCCACATCAATAGTTAAACTCCTTTTAGGAATTCTCATTAACAAACTCTCTGAGCAAAGGCTCAACTAAGCTTCACTACATATGTGTGTATCACGATGTTTTCAATCGTTGAAAATATTCTATTCAAACACAACATCAGTTCCTTCAGTTTCTAATTTCATTAACTTATGAACAAGCAATGCAATTGTTCAACATAAATTTTTTTGTGACTTGGAGATTGTTGTGAACCTGTGACAACGATAAACACAAAATCAATTTTTAAAATGCCAGTATGAGGCTCCGAGTTTCCCATCTCAATGCCTATTCATAAATTAACCCCCAGCAGATTTGCATAGCACCAATCAGCCACTTAACTTTGACATAATTTTCTCCTGGGTCAAAACTTAAAGATAGTTGGACACATCAAAATTGACTGAACCACCCCAATTTGTTTATATTTTCCCCCTTTCAAACAAAACCAAATTGAATAAAATTTGAGTATTCACAACACTAAAGATCCTCTCAAGGCCATAATATTATATTCACAGCATCTCTATCAAAGTGGTTACTCTTCAAGTTATAAATCTTGTCAACCACTTGGATTAGACAACCAGCCATTATTAAATAACCTGCAAAAGGTTTCTTTCCAAGTTTGAATTCTTTAACTTGAATTGGACCATTTTCCACAAAAAACTTTCTGAGCTAAAGTTAATATATTTGCGGCATTCCATGACCTTTTCCACAGAAGAATGTTGAAAAAAGGTACAAGATTAGATGTTTTACCAATTATTCACATGGGTCTGGTAAAGTCAAACATTGTTAGGAATCTGCATCTGCTGCAAATATAACACTCATAATGACATGCTACACATATTCAAAGTCCGGTTCTGAAACTATTATACCAATAAATAAAAAATCCCATTAAAATGACACATTATATTACCAAAAGCCGGTGCTTAATTTAATCTAAGACTCTATTTAAGCTAGAATAGATATCGATTTCTCAATCAGTCTCTAGCCGCCTTAACCACTAGTAATGTCGCAAATGCAGAGACTTGAGTAAAAGTACATTTGATTTAATAGAGAGAAATAGACATGAAGAGGACTACTTGAGGGAGAATTTTTTTACCAGAGGCTGACGATGGAGCCTAAACCGATGGTGAGGAAGCGACCCAGATAAGAATCGAGAGAAAGCGCCAAAATAGGCATGAAATTTGTGGCGGCAGTCCAGAAAAAGAGATATTGGTCCCTTTGGCAACACTGAGATGATAATCTCCGATGAAGTAGAGGATCATGTTTGGAACTAGCCCATAACTTGCCACCTTCTCAAATGCCTCGTTTGCTGTTTCAGAAAATGTCCATCAACCGAATTCAAATCAAGATTTTGACCATAAGTTAAGATCATGAAAGCAAGAAAACTTAAAAGATCACTGAAAAACTTAATAAACCCAGTAAAAGTAAAAAGTTGCATGTTTTTAAGCTTCACATTTGCTGTTCAGAAATGTTCATCGACCAAACCAAACTCAAATTCAGATTTTGACCACAAGTTAAGATCATCAAAGCAAGAAAACTTGAAAGATTACTAAAAAAACTTAATACCCAGTAAAAAGTAAAGAATTTTCATGTTTGTAAGCTTCATTTGCTTCTGCAAGTGAGAAAATATCACTACCAATTCACCGCTGGAAGATAAAGTAAGACATGATGAGAAAAGTACAAACACACATGCTTCCTCCTCCTCCTCTTTTTTTTTTTTTTTTTTTTTTTTTAAATAAGGTGTGCCAGTGCATGTCATACATGAACAACATGGGATGACACACATGCATGCATTTAGTCCAAAGGAAAAGCCCTACCAAATCTAATCTAAAAAGTGCCATCCTTTTCTTCTCACAGAAATTAAATTATTTGTCCCACTATTCACTTCACCAAAAAGCTTGCATTATTGATCTTTAAAATTTGAATCCCTCTATATAATTGTAGAATTATTGATAAAAAAAAAAAAAAAAAAGAAGACATATTGCTTATTACATCATGACGTAAATTTTGATATCGTTTTTGAAATATATTCTTATAGATCTTATGACCCGTGTAAATTAATGAAAATGAGATTCATTTTTATTATCTTGTTTATT